TTTTAAGTCTCTTATCTAATTGAAACCGATGTTATTAATTAATTTAAATCTATCACGTTAGTAATTAGATCGTTCTCTAATATACTTGGTTATATCGAGACTTAAATCGGATCCGATGTTGAATTGTTGAGACTCCTAACGAAAAGGTTTGACGATCGATTGTGATGGAATAAATAAATAAATAAATTGACTTAGGTAATAAGCGAGAATTTGAATTAGGAATAATTTTGACAAAATTAGAAATTTTTTCGAAGATGAACTTTTAGAATTAAACCGAACATGGTATCTTTTCTTGAAAAATGATGCTTTTGGGTGATCAATATCTTTTCAAAGGCATAACTAACTTCTTATCCTAAAATCTCTAAACCGAGTGTCATTTTAGATTTCCTAATTCCTTTAATATTAGGTGTCAACTTAAAAACGTGGTTTAACTCACATCCTTTGAAAATAATTTTTAAAAAAATGAAAAAATAATTTTTAATATTTTTTGCAAGTTTTCTAAATGTCGAGTTACAACAATAGGCATATAGGAGAGGAGAATGACATTTTCGAAGTTAAAACTCGCACAAATGCGAGGTTGGGGATGGGGGGTGGGGGGGCTTTTTTTCTACTAAAGTTGCCATGAACAAAAGCTATAGTTTTAAAAAAAAATGGAGGGAAATTTGTTTTGTTTTAGGTTTATGGTCCTCAAGTTTATAAGGCCTTTCTATTTTGGTAATTAACAATAAGGTCTTTTTGCAATTATGTTTCTAATGTGGATGGATTTAGGGGTGAAATTAAATAGAATCTTAACCCCGGTGACTAGTTTGGACTTTATTTATTTGACGAGTCTACCTTAATCAGTTTTATATAAAAATTTTAGAATTTATACATATACTTGTCTTTAGTATGTGTTTTAAATTTTGTAATTTTAAGAGTCTATTTGCTATTTATTTATTATTTTCCATTATTTTAATTATTATTGTTGGTGTTTTGGAATTTAATTATTCGATCCAGCTTATGCAGTTTCATTTTAAATATGAAATTTTTAGGATTTGTATATATATTTATCCTTAGCTTGTATTTTAAATTTGATAATTTTAGGAGACAATATGCTATTTATTTATAATTTATTTATTATTCTATTGGTATTTTAATTATCAAAGAGGTTTGTTTTGAAATATAATTATTTGGTCCAGTTTTTTATTTCATTTTGATAGGAAATTTTTAGGGGATATGTACATATATGCTAATAAGTTCCCTATAAATGTTTGTTAAATTTAGAGTTTTTTGGTAATTACTTTTGGCATTTTTTATGTCTCGCTTATAATTTATTTTACTTGTTAATTGTTTGAGTTGAAATTTATTTTATTAGATGTGAGATCGTCAAGTCTCCTAGGATTTAGGGATCGATGACGATCTCAAATTGAATTTGGTTTGTAATTAGAAAAAGAACACATCTTCTTAGGTAATTAAGAAATTAAATTGAACTAACGAGTCTTCTATTTAAATAAGAGTTGTTGTTAGTTTCAACCCTAAATAAAAAAATTATTAAAAGAAGAAATAAAAGGAAAAGAAATAGTTAGGATAAATACAAGTCGGTGTAACACTCTAAGCTAATTAGGTTATTCCTCGACATGTCTATCATAACCTAAAATTTTTCCAATCTTTTTTTTTTTACTTGTTTCTTATTTTATTTTACTTTATTTTGGAATTTACTATAAAAAAAAATGGAGGAGATGACTTACACCCCACCACACCCCCCCCCCAAAAAAAAACCCTAAAAATCCCTAATATAAACCACTCTTTCCTTCATTTTAGGGGTAGCCACAATAGCCACAAGAGCCATAATCATCCCTTCTATAAAAAAAGACCCTAACCTCTTACTCATCTCCTTACCCACCGCCAAGCATCTTCTTTCCACTTAACCAACAACCATAACATCCCCTACACATTTAGCCACCTTTCATAAATAAATAAATAACCATAAATCATCCAAAAAAAACTTCCACGCTAAAAAAAAACACCGAAAAAAAGAGAGGCAAACATGCCTTTACCCGATTAGGGAGCCTAACGACCCATTTACTCGATCGAATCCTCCTCCACCAAATCAACCGAGCTTCCCGTCAATTTTGACCTCAATCTCAACCACCTATGGATAGAACATCACTAGATCGGCCCATCCTCGTTGGTTAAAGGGAAGAGGGAGAAATCTAAGTTTGAACCAACACAATCGACTTATTTGGTGACCTAGTTATATCTTGTAATTTCAACCAAACCATTGACTGAGACCACCACAAACTTGGTCATCCGACTCCCCGAGTATTTCCCTCTTGAAGTCACTACCCAACGTCATCGAAAAACGATCTAATCAATAAAGACATATTTTGAAGAACTTAAAAAATATGGTTGATTTCAACCAAATTAGACTCCTTAACCATCATAAAAACACTCCTCCCAACTTTACGAGTCGATTGGTGTCCTTAAAATCCCCTAACATCGTTAGAGTCATCATTAGGCAAAGAAGGAGATCCGATTGAAGCTTCAAGGCCGTTGATCTTCCTCCTCTAGTGACGGCTACCTAAGCCACCACATCATTGGGTTCGGTGATGATCCCCTCCACCACACGAGGTGAAGGGTGGCTAGAAGGCGATTAGACATCTCGGAAGTAGCTTTGGGGTTTCGAGAAGCATTTTGGTAATTTTTCCTCATGACATTTTGGTCATTTTCCAACAACCTCGTAGGGGCATTTTGGTTAGTTTTAAATGACCATTTGGTTTATTTCTCGCTACTTAATTATTTTTATGCATGCATGCTTTTTTATTAATATTTTATGCTTAATTTAGATTTAGTATTTTGAATTTATTTAGTTACTATTAATTTTAATAATTAGTTTAGTTAATTAATAGGTAAATGAATTAACGAGTCTCCTAATATTTAGAGACCGATAACGATTCTCCACCGATAAAAAAAAACAACAAAAAAGAACAAAAAAAAGAAAGAAGGAATGTTAGGGAAAAAAAGGAAAGAAAATGCTAGGAAAAAAAGAGAAAATAAAAGATGAAAGAACCTAGAAAAGAAAATAGAAAAACACATATATATATATATATATATATATATATATATATATATATATATATATATATATATATATATATTAACAAAGTCTTATATCCAATAGAGACTATTGTTAGCCAAAAATCACTTTAGTAATTAGAGCGTTCTCCAATATACTGATTATATCAAGGATTATATCAAGACTTAAAATGGATCCGATATATGAACTGACGTGTCTCCCGATGAAAGGGTTTAATTGATTTGTTTAATACGATGCCAAGAACAAAATTAAAATAAAAAAACTAGTTTGACATAAAAAAATAATAAAACTTAGAAATTCACCGAGAAATATTTTGGTAACAATAAAAACTTTTAAAAGATAAATTTTAGGATGAAACTAGATATGGTATCTTTCTTAGGAAAGGGAGTTTTTGGGTGATCGATATCTTTTTAAAAGTGTAACCAACTTTTTATCTTATAATCTTTGCACCGATAGTCATTTTAGGTTCCTAATTCCTTCAATACTAGGTAATGATTTCGAAATCAATAATTACTCACATCCCCATAATACATCCGAAAAATCTTAAATCTTAAATTTTTTAGAGTTTCGTCGAATGTCGAGCAATGACAATGTCAATGGTGTAGGGATGTAATTGGATCCGATGTTAAATTAATGAGAATTTCAATATTGGGATCCGAAATCAATTTAATATGATTCTACAATAAAAAATAAAAAATTAATTTGACCTATACGATGAATAAGCATAGAAATAGGCTTAGGAAATAATTTGTCAAACATAACTTTTAAGAGATATTATTAGGATTAGATTAAACTCGATTCTTTTCTTCAAAAGTTATGCCTTTGGGTAATTGTTATATTTTCAAAAATATAACTACCTCATTACTTGAAATTTTTTAATTCGGTGCTTTCCTTGAGTTTCTTAGTTTTCTTCAATACTAAGTGGCGATTGTAAAAATTTTTCAATTCTTTTTCCATAACCTAATTTTTTCCACTTTATGTATTTTTTAGGTAAGTAATTTTATTGCTTATTTTTTCTATTTATTTTTTACTGATTTTAAGGACAAATAGATGGCCCATTAATTGTCACCTCACTCCAAAACTGACGTAACACAATTTGTTGTAAAACTAGAAACAAACATTCATTTTATGTCCCTCCCTCTCTCTATGGAACCAAAAGAGCCGATTTTAAGCTCTTAATTATCCTATTAAAAGAGGTCAATTCATAGAGATGGTAATGACTTATTAATTCAATTTTTTGCATTACTAATAAAAAAAATATTTTATTCATTATCTATTAAGAAATCTTCATATAAATTTTTAGACAGTTTAAACCCAGTTCACATTAGTTTACCCGTCCATTTAATACTCATTTAATATCCAAAAAAATAATTTGTCAAAATATTTTATTTTACTCGTAATTTTCAAGAAAAGTTTTTTTGGTCCTTAAAATTTATTTTTTACATTTTCGTCATTTATTTTTTAAGTTTTTTGGTCCTCAAAGTTTTTACAAAAAAAAAAAAATTGATCCTTTATTTTTAAATTCTATACAATTAGATCCCTATATGTAAAAAAATCAAAATAAATTAGTGGGTATTAATAGGAAGAGTGAATACTCATATTCTCAAAGCATATTAATCAAAAAAATTGATCCTTTATTTTTAAATTCTATACAATTAGATCCCTATATGTAAAAAAATCAAAATAAATTAGTGGGTATTAATAGGAAGAGTGAATACTCATATTCTCAAAGCATATTAATGGATATATGTTTTTTTATCATTTTCCACTTCGATATCCATTGAATATTTTTAATGAATATTTATTGGATTTGGTAAAACAAGTGTCTATTTTATACAGAGTCTATGGCCATCTCTATCGATGCACACTAACAAACAAACTAGATGAAGAAAGAAAAGTAAGTCTTTATTATTTATTTGTATTGCTATTTATAATTAAAATACCTACCATCCAAATTACACAAAGCTTTGAAAGATGGAAAGGAATATGAGCCCTCTATTATGGATTCAAAAATCAATCTATAGGTTGCTTCTGTGTAGTGTATACCATCCCAATTCACATACAGGGAAGGATTATTGCAAACACTCGCGAGTAGGTTGCCACATTCAACTGATGAATTGTAGTTGTATGTTCCTCCCCAGCCACAACATGCTTTTAGGACACCTCCTGTAAATCCTAAAATGAAAATAATCGGTGATTACTAATATGTCAACGTCTCTATAAACTACGACATTATAACATAACTATAAGCTCCTTAGCAAAGTAACATATGAAAAACAACAAAAGGAACATACCGAATAGATTTGGTGAGTGGTAAAAAGGCATTACAGCATTGTAATAATCTGCATAAATGATTTTGGCATGAGGATGAAGCTTCTGAATTTTGTTTAATTCTGCCAAAAGTTGTTGATTATGGTCTTCGGAGAATTTATTGAGCCAGTTAAGACAACCAGTAAATTGGTCATAGTCTTTTTTATCCGAACCCTCAAAATATGTTAGATAGGATGGCAAGCACCCGATTGGGAGATTTCCAGGAACCAATATTGTTATAGCTCCTAGTTCAATTACCTCCTGCATTGCATCGATTAGTAATCAAATATTCAATAAAAAATATAAAGAGTACTATGTGTGTAATTTGCAAACAACATAAAGGACACACAAAATAATAATATTAATAAAATTCTTAGGTATTGTTAAATTCGCCAATAGAATTGTTATTTCTATCATTTTTTTAAAAAAAATTATCAATATATATTTTATCAATTACGAATAATTATTATATAATAAATATTGATGAAAAGTGTATTAGTAATTTTCTTTAAAAAAAAATGAATGGAATAACAATTCTAATTGTGAATTTAGCAATACCCAAATTCTTTTGTAAACTAAGTTTTAAAAATAATTGTATTGAATATCACTCAGCTGTATAATTCACTTTTGAATGAAGTTTTTACCTCGATGGCTAAACCTATGGCGTTAATAACATAAGGTACAAGATCTTGAATAATCTCAGTGCTAACTCCTCCAAAGAATGCATGGTTGTAATCATTTCCTCCAATCTCTCCCAAAAGAATGAGGGAGTTGCCAAGTAGCTTCTTGCAGTCTACAAATCATAAAAAGTTTTTCAATTTAGATCTCCATCTTTAGAGAACTTTTTAAGAAAAAAAGAAGCATATTTGTAACTGTCAAGCACATTCATACACGCAAAATTCAATATCTATAAACTAGGGTGTCACGTTGACCCAAACTGTCTAAATCGTGTAAGTAAGTTCCAACATTAAGAGTGAACGTGTTTTTCAATTTAGATCTCCATCCTCAAAGAAAATTTTACGAAAACTGTTTTTTTTTTAAAAAAAAAATTCATGCACATTATACATACAAAATTCAATATTTATAAACCTATGTAATTGGTGTAAGTCCCTACATTATGACTGTGATTTGGAAACAGTGGATCCATATGGTTGTAATATGTGGCTGGGTCCACATGATATTATGTAATAATTTCAGAGAAAAAAAAAACGCAAAGCCATATATATTTCAAAATAATAAAGTATCTTTAAATCACTTTTCATATGAATCAAAATTAAATTTATTATTTTTTCAAACTAAATCAGTGTCAGAATATATTTATCCTTTAATTGATCATAGATTGTTTTTTAGAATTAATCAAGCCAAGCCCGATACTATTAAGGAAGAACTATGATTAATAATGTGTAAATAATGATAATTGAATTTTAGCTTTGACAAAACTAAAATAATTTTTTTCTATTAGGCTACATATAGAATGATGACTACGGCGAAACGAATTAAATGTGCATCATTAAAATAATATCCCTTGTTAGATCCAAAAATATGCTTATGTAGAATACGTAAATTTGGATTAATTCTTCAAAAAGAAAGCAGAAAGTTAATTTGTATCATATTGTGAATGATTTATTTTTATTTTAGGAGTTTAATTTCTAATATTTTTATTTGAATCACATTTCTCCCATCGAATATTTTTCATTCCCAGAAAAGGAAAGGAGAGAAATATGGCCTGTATCTGTATTCAAAACCTTTGTTTAAAGTTGGTATACATGTTTCCAAAAGCCAAATTTAAATTTCATGTACTCTAAGCTAACAACTTCCAATGATAAAAGTGTGATCATAACCAAACCCTAAGTTGATGATCCCTAACATTTGCTGCTGGAAATGATTTTCAAAATGATTGGTTTACATATGATGTTGGTGTCTATGGTTATGTTGGTCTATTAGGCGATCTTGTTATGGTGTTTTGAGGAATTGCGTTTGATATGCACCCTATCGGCTTGTTTATATGTTTGAGTGAGTGTTGCTCACTTTTCTTTTCTTTTGTTTCGCCATAATTAATTTGGATGTTTTCTTACAATTGGGGGCATGTCTCCCTTTTACATCAATGAACTAGCTTTAGAAACAAACAAAACAAAACACACCAAGTGGCGCTGGTATGTGGCCGGAAGCAGGAAGCGGCGGTTGCCATCCCAAGCCCAAGAAATTTATAATAGACCAAGTTATATTGTTTGTTTTCAATTAGACCTGGAAATTAGGTTGGGTTGGATGGATTTCGACTGGGATGTCTTAAATTTGGATTGTTTTCGAGTTTGAGTCACTATACGCATGACCTATGAAATCTAAGCAGGTTTGAGTCAACCTATGGAGGGTGGGGGGTTCTTTTTTTTTTCTTTTTTTTTGTAAGAAAACCCATATGCATCAATTACCAAAAAAAATTATATACGTTCATATTAACTATGACTTAAAGTTAAAATTTAATGAAGTAATTTGTTATCTAATAATATTTACATATTTTTTAATTTCAAGAAAATAACAATGTGATTATCACCTAAAAAACGGAAGTAACCTTTTCAAAGATATCAATTTTTGTTATATGGAGCAAACACATTACATATATTTTGCCCTCTTTATAAAAAATTAATTTGTTAGAAGAGTTCAAATGAGAGTTTGGTACAACATATACGTTTATTATTTTGAGTTATTTATCAATTAATATTTTTAGCATTTATTAATTAAATTAAAATATTTGGTTTTTAGAATCTGAATGGTTTTATATAATGCTTGATAATTTATAATTAAATTAGTTTGTTTAATTTTTAAAACATATAAATAAATTTTAATTGCATTGAAATAAAATATAGCAATAAAAGGTTAGTAGTTAGGATATATAGACATATGTTGCATGATGTGTATGACTGTTTATGATTAGATCTCTTAAATAATAATAATAATAATATCACTAAAAATTTATATCAATTTATTTACTAGCATGGCAACATAATTAGAAATTAGAAGTGTATTTTTCGTATCATGTGTTGTTATAAGAAAATTTCACTTTTGTCTTGTAAAAATAGAAAAAAAAAAAAAAAAAAGAGAAAGAGTTTCATTATTTATTATAATGTAATGGATAGTTGTTTTAGTTAAAAGAGAATAAAGCAATATTTTTTGGCATTTCTTTTTAAGGTTGAAGTTAGATTAAATAATCTGATGAAAATAAGAATTATAAAACTATCAAATATAAATATGCTATATTGAGCTCGCTTATACCTAATAAGTATAATTACATATTTAAATACAAATATGATGATGAAAAATCTAATATTATTTTTAAATTTTGATTTTGATCTTATATATTTAGTAATATTCATAGTTAAAAATTCTTGTAAACAATTTGAGAAATAAAGCTTTATAAACTATTAGATATTTGACTCTAACATTTAAGCTTTAATATAACAAAATTGATGTGTTTTTTTTTTCTATCATAATTAATTACTAACATTACAATAATATTTCTAAATTATTTTGTTGAAAGAAGTCATTTATTGAAATAAAAATTTATAAACTTTATTGTAATAAATTTTTTTTATTAAATATCAGAATTTATCAAAATAAATAATAAAAAATTTGTGAATCATTTTGTCCAAAATAGTTAAAAGTAAAATAAGACAACAAAAAATTTAATGTAGTTAAAAATTCTTGCAAACAATTTGAGAAATAAAGCTTCATGAATCATTTGATGTTTGACACTAATATTTAAGTTTTAAAATTGCTAAATTGCTATGTATTATTTTATCATATTTAATTAAATCATCAAAATAATCTTTCTAAATTATTTTTTTGAAAGGAGTCATTTACTCAATTAATAAAAAATTTTGGGAAAAAGTTCTTGAGAAATCCTACTCAATTGACCGAAATCGATATATATATATATATTTGTTAATCATTTGGTCCAAGGAGTAATGAGTAAAATAATTAAGACAACGTATAATAAAAAAATTTCTATATATATAAAAAAAAGGATCCAATTTAATAATTTCATAAACTTTAATGTATTTTTATTATTTTCAGAATTTTTAATACTATTATTATTATTATTGGCTTATTTTTATTCATTTTTAGAGTTTTCATAGACAAATAAAGTGCTACTAATGTATGTTATATGTTAGGAGTGAATTAATAGGTTTATTTTATGTTATTTAAGATTTGATGTGATTAATAAATAAATAAAAATATTGAAAAAAACAGGATCAAGCTATTTTTTAGGCTTTAATAATTTCTTTTGTATAAATTTCTTCCATATTGGTTTTTCTTGTTTACCTTAATGAGAAGTGTGGTGGAATTTATATATTAATTTATTGGAGATAAGTTATAATGCTATTAATATTGTATTAAGGATAATACCATTTATTTTCCTTATAAGTCTTATGACATTAATTGCATGTATTAAGAAAACCATCTATTCTAACACATAACCATCCACACATATTAAGCAAAATGACTGAAATACGTTTTTCCATTCAAAACCTGTACGTAGTCCATTATCCTATTTTCACAAACAGATTTAGATCAGATTGGTGCATCAACTAATTAACGGTCTTAAATTGCACCTCTAGTTTCACGAGTAAATTATAAATACGTTTATGTTTGCCACCTCTAGTTTCCATGGTCAAAAAATTAACAAGGACATGTGTCCCACGCGTCCCTTGAACCTAATTAAATGGTCTCATCAACTAATATTACCTGGGGATAAAATAATCCATTATCCTATTTTTATTTTGTTATATCTTAAGTTCATTTTTCTATGTTTATTTTTTATTTTAAGTTTGCCTCTTCATTAACGTCTTAAATTGCATCGTTAGTTTCACAGAATTACTACGACATGACTTAATTTTTTTTTTTTAATTTTATCCTTCTACTCTTTTTTAATAGAAATTAAAAATATGAAGATAAAAATGCTTTTTATTCAAAATATTCTTGATGGATTTAAATTTATCTCTATGGTAATAGGAAAATTTTGAATATAAACTGAAATATTTATAATATTTTTTAAAATGTAAAAAAAAATTTAGTTAAATTTTTTAAAATTTTGAATGATATTTAGTCTTTTAACTTCGAGTGAATATTTCAAAAAAAAAAATCTTTAAAAATTTATATTTCTATTTTGAGTCAAATTAAAAAAAAAATTAAAATAAAAATAAATAAATTACAAATATCATTCAAGAGTTTAAAATTTTAATTACAACTCTTTTGGCATTTAAAAAAAAACTATAAACATTTAATTTTATACTAAACAATTGTTTACTATCCTAAAGATAAATTTAAACCTATAAAATTATTTTGAATAAAAAACATTATTTTCTTCATTCTTTTTTCTTTATTTTGTTTTTTATTATTAAAAAATAATAAAGATTCAAGATTGAAACCCAAAAAAAAAGTTTGACATGTGTCACAATTCTGTTAATTAAATCTATTAGCCAAAAAAAAAAAAAAATTAACAAGCAAACAAATTAATGACAAAAAGCAAACATAAGAAGACGAACCCAATACGAAAAACAATAAAATAAAGAGACGTGATAAAAATAAATAATTTCTTATAAAAAATTAAAAATATTCACAATTTACAAAGATAATAATCTCAAATAAGAAACACAACCTATATATATATATATATATATATATATATATATATATATATATATATATTGCAAACGAAATGTCAAAATCTGTATCGGGTAGATGATTTTATCTAGTAAACCTACTTTTGGTTGGGCCTCCACTCCATTGACTATTTAAGTTTCTTATGTTTTCAGCCATAAAATGTTGCCAAAAGATAATTAATTCAACATGTCAGTTGTGGGTGCAGTGATAGTACCGAATTTGGGTGTGCGTGGCGTGAGAGGATTGGGAGGGGATCTGATTGGAAATTACAAGAAAGGGAAAAAAAATAAAAGAAAAGAAAGATTGGAAGGGCATGGAATTTTTTTTAATGCAAATCAGTTTCGCATTGACGTGATGAAACATGTAATGAAGGTAGAGCGATTGCTACGAAATCAGAACTTTTCTCATGGAAATTAGATTTTATTTATTTATTTATTTTTAAGACGGGATCATCTTTTACCGCTTAATTAACCTCCTATAAGTTATGGAACTAGCTCAAGTCATAATAGAAATTATTTTTTTTAAAAAAAGTAGTAGTGTATATCTGCCTGTAACTTGAAATGGCAGGCTTGCCTGACGGCGTGGAGCAGAGAGAGCAATAGTTCTTTGAACAAATCCAGTTAGAATCGAGATTGAAACAAAAAAAATAAAAATAAAAAATAAAAGTTTGACATGTATCGCAATTCTACGGAGTTAACGGTGCAATTTAACTCTATCTATTAGCCCAAAAAAAATGACAGGTGAATAAATTAATGACAAAAAGCAAACATAAGAAGCCAAACATAATATGAAAAACAATAAAATAAAGAGACGTGATAAAAATAAAAGAAAGAATAGGACTTCTACAACTATTAATCCTACAATGAAGGTACAGAAATTGCTATGAAATCAAAACGTTTTTAAGTTGATCACTATTAACGTTTGCTGCTGGAATGGTTCTGTAAAATGATTGGTATATGTACGATGAAGGTATCGTAGATAAAAGGATGAGAAAGTGTTCAATTAGCTTTGCTCACCTTTCTCGTATTTTCTTTGGTCCAAACTTTAATTTATTTTCTTGTCACCTTCTATTTGTATTTTATTGTAATTTGAATAAATTGTTATTATTATTTTATTTTTTTAATTTTATTTAACTTAATCAAATATGAACTACATGAGATTTCAGAGAATTTTGTTAATTTTTAAAATTAAAAGCACTAATAGATAAAATTTTTAAAACACGGATTTTCAAATAATAAAAACAAAAATACATGCTATTAAATGAAGGAAAATAAAAATACATACACTTTACTAAATAAATAAAATATAAACACACAATTATAAATAAAATGAATGTTGATGTATATTTAATGTACATATGAGATATGTGAATTGAACAATCACATCATATTTCACGGAATCAAACAGAAATATTTAATTAGAAGAATTTCAAAATTTCCGTTAAAATAGCAAAAATAAAAATAATGACAATCAAATATATAAAAAAAAATAAAAAATCACATTTCACGTATATAATAATCTCAAATAAGAAACACAACCTATATATTGCAAACGAGATGTCAAAATCTGTATCTGGTAAATGATTTTGTCTAGTAAACATGCTTTTGGTTGGGCCTCCAATCCATTGACTTTTTAAGTTTCTTATGTTTTCCGCCATAAAATGTTGCTAAAAGATAATTAATTCAACATATTAGTTGGTGGGTAATAGAAACTAATAAATGTAATAGTAGATTATATCTGCCTGTAACTTGAAATGGAAGACTTACCTGAAGGCGTGGAGCAGAGAGACGGCAATAGTTCTTTGAACAAACCCAGCTGAACATCCAAAGAAATATTGGTCGAGTGGTTCGTGATTCCTCTATCTTGAAGAAAAGCAGCATCAAGCGCACTCGCTCCCGCTACAGCAAAATTGACACCGGTCTCTTTAAAACTTTCCATGCTTCCTCCAAAATATGGTGGTACAAATGAAAGTCCTAGATATTCAGCTACATGAAAAAAACACACAAAAGTGAAAAAAATAAGTTGTTTTGTTTGTAAATAAAAATACACATCCATGGAATTAGGTGTGTATGTGCATAACGTACCAATAAAGTCTATGACAAGACGACCATTGGAGCAACGTCCGGTAGGATGGTGAAAAAAGGTTTCACCGTAAGGAGGAAAGGAGAAGTGGGGAAGTTTATCAGGCTGTGACAAGTGCATTAAGTTTCCGGTATCGGCAAGTGAATCCCCAAAGCCAAAGATTGATGTGTAGCATCCAATTGCACACGAGATGGTGGATAAGATAAGAACGTTGAACAAAAACAAATTCCATAGGAACTGAGAAGAATATGGAGCCATGCACAGAGAAATGAATCAAGATGTTTGAGAAAGAAAGCTGCCCAAGATCAAGTTGAACTTTGTGGTTTGGATATATAGTATCGATACCATTTTTCTTTTTCTATTTTCTTAATCTCATCTACCCACATGCCACGTTGAGCACCACATGACTTGACTGTGATGGGTGACAATCTGATTAAAGTAGAAACATCATTATTGATTACATGGAGCCATCCTGACTCCTAATTGAGTCTCTATCGGTAACCCATTGACGGTATTTGATAACTTTGATAACCAAAACTAGAAAAATATGCCCTCGCCAGTTCAATATTTCCACATTAGTCACCAATAATCTTAAAAAGTTTGCATAATTACAACTCATTGGCACCCACTGTTTGAGACTTGTTAACATGCTGTTAGAACTCATTTTAGTTGCACATTTACTTAAGCTTGAATTATTTAAGAGACAAAATCTCAATTTATTTCCAATTAAATCTGGTAATCATATCTGAAATTCCTTAAATAACTATTTGCGAATCGTAGACGTTTCTATATCATTTACCTTTCTTCTATACACCAAATCCACCCCCCCCCCCCCCCCCCAAAAAAAAAAAAACCACTTTCTTTGTCCACACAAAATCTTTTTAAAATGCAGGAATCTAATCTCTTAAGATGTGGTAGATGTTTTGAGAAATAGTAAGGAACTTTGAAGCTGCCTTCTTCACATCATAGTTTCAAAAGATTAGCTCTATCCTCTTTATCAAATTTTGGATTATATATTTTTCTTTAATATTATCCTTTTCAGGTTTTTTATTTTTTTATAATCCTTTTTCATTTTATTTTATTTTATTTTATTTGATATTTACAATGAAAAAAAAAAAAACAAGAGAATTAATATCTTGAAAAGTTGTTGTCGGGAGAGTCCATACTTTTTCTCATTGCTAAAAGCATTTGTCCCTGGAGAATTACACGTAACGAACAAAAACAGCATTAATATCTTCAATGCGTACGATTAAGGATGGGTGCATTTTTGTTTCATATGAGATTTCTAGGCTTTTTATTTTTATGAGATAAGACACCTAGCCATCTACTCAGTAGGCCACTTAGTCATTTTTTTCTCTCCAAGATCGAATAATATCTACCCACCATTGCATAGTTCAATAGCCTTCTAACATAGAAGACAGAATAAGTATTGTATTATCTAATTATACATTAAACATAAAATTAAAGTAACACTATTAGTTTTATTATTCATTTACTATTTAAAATATTATTCACATACTCATAAATCATTATTCATTTCACTATTCATTACATTTTTGTAACACTTTGTCCTCAAACTTTCTATATTTATTTTTTTAATTTCAAACTTTAATTGTATCATAATTAGATCCCATTTTGTTTTAGTATTTTTTGTTAATCATTTTTAGTATTTAATATTTACAATCGTCACTACACGACGTCGGACGGGACCCCCAAAAAGAAAAAATTAAGAGTTCGAGCGTTAATTAATTACAAGATTATTTACGAGTTTTGGAGTCGCCATCTAGTATTTAAGGAACTAGGAACCTAAAAGTAGTACTTGGTTCGGAGATTCCTAAGGTAAGGAGTTGGTTACGCTTTTAGGTGATTAGCTTTTAGAAAGATATTTAATCACCTAAAAGCGTCCTTTTCGAAAAAAGGTACTATGTACGATTTAATTCTAAATTATCTCCTAAAATCCATGTCAAGCTATTTTCTAAATTTTAATCTCATATTCTCTTTTAGACTAAGTGAATTTTTAGTTTTGGGCGTGGCATCATATTGAAACGATCGTCGGTCCCCTTCGTTGGGTAACACGTTGATTCAAACATCGGATCCACTAAAAGCCTCGACACAACCGGCGTGCCGGAGGACGTCTTAATTAAAAGTGATTTTGATGATGTCGCCCCTATCAAATAGGAGGCTTCATCGAAATTTTTAGGCTTTTTTTTATGACGTCGGTCCCTATAAGATAGGAGACTTCGTCAAGATTTTTTTTAAAAAAAATGTATATTAAAGAAAAGAAAACAATAAAAAATTGAAATAGCAATTCTAAATTAATATAAAAAAACGACAAGGAATAAAAATAAACGAAGCTAAAAAAATAAATAAATAAATCATAAAAGAAAATAAAAACCATCATATATAAACAGAGTTAAAAAATAAATGAACAATAAAAGTAATTAAAAAAAATCCTATACCTAAAATATTAACCCACCACTTTTACTTTTTTTTTTTTTTTTACACCCATCCCTATTTTTTTCCTTTTTTCTTCTTTTTTTTTCTTCCCTAACTCTATTTTTATTTTTTCATCCCCCCCCTTTTTTTTTTTTGAAGAAAGGGTGTGGACTGGGCCCCCTTTTCTTTTCTTTTTCTCGCCTCGGGTTGAGCTGGATTTCCTTTTTTTTTTTTTTTGGGTAAAGGGTGCGCCCGACTCCCTTTTCTTTTTTTTTTTTTTTTTTGCATCGGGTCGAGTCAGGCTGAAATCAATCCAGCCCACGCACGTTTTCTTTGCCCTTTTTTTTTCACTGGGTCGAAGCCTAGAAACGAGCCCGAGTAATCAACTTGGACAAAAACGGATCAAACACCCGAAACAACTCTCCCTCTCTCCCGTTCTTAGTTCGTTCTTCAATTTCTCTCTCTAGTTCTTCAAATTTCCCAAAAATTAAACGCCGTCTCAAGCAACGAACTCAATCACACACGCACCTCAACTCAAGATAGCAAGTAAAACATCTAGATTTAAAGCTAACAACAAGAATAAAAAGAACGGGAATCAAATTCGGGGGCTCACCCGGAAATCTTCCTAAGAACACCAAAACGAACCCGTAAAAATGCGGAAAGAAATCTAGAAACGCAACGACCAAGGATGCTTGTTTCTCACGAATTTGTTGATATCTCGCCCTCGATTTCCTTTCCTTCGCTTTAAGAACCAAAAACTTCCTTGAATCAAAGTTAAAAAATGCCTCAAGCTGATTCGGGTTGAAGAACACAAACCTAGAAATATGAACTTGCAACCCGTAACCCGGAAAAATGCGATGATCAAAACTAAAAATTAAGCCTTTTGTTTTTTATTTTTGAAACCTCTCTACCCATAATTATTCACCCAATTTTTCTCCTTTTTCTTTCCGTGAAAATCAAACGTTTTATAACCAATAAATTTCTGAAAATTGAAATGAAATCCCCGAATTTTCCGTCAAAAATTTTTCTTTTTTAATTATGAAATCAAAACAAGAATTTCTCATTGATTTCCGTTAGTGTTAATTTTGGCAACAAAATCCATGATTAATACACAATCAAAAACATGAAATTCATGGAGGATTTGGGCAGATTCTATCAAAGATTTTCGAAGAGAATCTGCCTTGGAGCGAACAACGGGTCATTTGTTCCATTCCGGTCCTGTCCTTCGCTCCAAACTTTCGGTTTAGTCCTCGAGTTTCAATTTCAGCAATTACGCCCCTCGGTGAAATAATTTCAGTCTAATCTCAACAATTAGGTCCCCGGAGGTGCAATTTAAGGCATGAACTTTTCGAGTTGACTCGATTACACCCCTAATTACTTCAATTGCACCCCTAAATGAATTTTTTTTATTATTTTCTCTCTCTCTCTTTTTTCTTTTTCCTTAATAAACTTCAAATTAAAAACAAAAAACAAAAATAAAAAATAAATAAAATAAAAAAGTAAAAAGTAAAAAGTAAAAATAAATAAAATAAATAAATAAATAAGAAAAAATAAGAAAATTTTGGGTTATTACAACAACTTTAAATTGTTATTTTTTAAAATTCTTTTTCTAATTTCAAATTTTAATTATATTGTGATTTGATCCCATTTTATTTTAGTATTTTTTGTTAATTATTTTTATTATTTAAAAGTTATTCATTTAAATTTTTATTTTTTAAAATTCTCATCCAATTAATTTAAAATTATATGCTCCTCAAATTTTTTATATATTTATTTTTCAATTTCAAACTTTAATTGTATTTTGATTTGATCCCATTTTATTTTAGTGTTTTTTGTTAATTATTTTTATTATTTATGTTTTTAATTAATTTTATTATTTAAAATTTACTAATTTAATTTCTCATTTTTTAAAAAAATTCTCATCCAATTAATTTAAATTTTATGCTCAGTAATTTCTCTAAATATTTTTTTTTTCAATTTTAAACTTTAATTATGTTGTGATTTGGTCTTATTTTGTTTTAATATTTTTTTGTTAATTATTTTTGTTATTTCAAATTTTCTAAGTTAATTTTTTTTAATTCTCATCCAATTAATTTAAAATTATATTTACTTGACAGTTTTGATTTATTTTTCTATATGTATGGAATTTGCAATAATGTTTTAGAACATGATTATTTCTTCTTTTGAAAAATAGATTTAGATAATTTTTAAATTATAGTGGAATGATTAATATATATAATTTATCCGAATACATTTTTAGTCCTCAATTTCTCTCTCTCTCTCTCTCTCTCTCTCTCTCTCTCTCTCTCTCTCTCTCTCTCTCTCTCTCTCTATATATATATATATATATATATATATATATATATATATATATATATATATATATATATATATAAAATTTTAAACTTTAATTATATTATGATTCAATCTCTTTTTTTTTTTTAGTATTTTTTGTTAATTAGTTTTATTATTTAAAATTTACTACTTTAATTTGTTATTTTTTTAAATCATCATCCAATTAATTTAAAATTTTATGGTCTTCAATTTTTCTGAACATTTTTTTTTTCAATTTCAAACTATAATTATATTGTGATTTGGTCTCATTTTATTTTAGTGTCTTTTGCTAATTATTTTTATTGTTTAAAATTTACTACCTTAATTTTTTATTTTTTAAAATTCTCATCTAATTAATTTAAAATTATATTTACAAACAATTTTGATCTATTTTTCTATTTTTATGGATTTTGTAATAAATTTTTAAAACCCGATTATTTTTTACTTTGAAAAATAGATTTAGAAAATTTTTAAATTATAGTGGCATG